ACACACACACACACACACACACACACACACACACACACACACACACACGTTCCAACTCAGCTATCATATTCCTGCTTCCTGGCATCTGTGAATGTCATTTCCACAGCAGACATACCATCTTTAGATTTCTGGATACCCTTGACCTCCCTTTGGACGGATCAGGGATTGTTCAGATGGGCTTTTCTGGCCCAATGGATATGCTCATTGGAATCCATGACTCAGGGCTGTATAGCAGAGAAACACAATACACAGTACCCTTACTTGTATCACGCCAGCCAGCATGCAGAGAGCTTGTTCAGTGTCCATGAGCTTGACCTCGTTGGAGAGCTGGACTAATTCAACCCACTAGCAATGGCTAAGATACCACTGGTGTGGACCCTCTACCCTGTTCTCTAAGTCCTGGAGCTGCCACTATAAGGATAGTGGCTCAGTCTTCAGCAAAACTCATCAGACACCATACTGAGCTCCCACAAGGCCAACAGTGCCCACACAGAGGTGAAAGCAACAACAATCATAGAGTTCCACTTTTCCCCAATGTCTGGTGTCAGACTCTGTGCTAGCCACAGATGAAACAGCACAATGTTTTGTCTCACTGTGTCTTCCTAACAAAACAGCTGATACGGAAGCTGAGGCTTTGAGCAGAGAGTGCAACCTGCCAGAAGTAGCCATCTGGTAAGTGATGGATTCAGGAATGGCGCTCCAGCCAGTGGGTCTCCAGAAGTCCTGCTTGTGCTCTTCCCCTCTGAGGAAGTCACTTCACTCCAACCACGCTGGTGCCTACTCATCGCCTTTAACTCACCAGTGCTCATCTGTCTTTTCTTCTACTTATATAGGAAGGAAAAAAATGTGGGGAAGCATATGAACAAAGCAAATCTCGTAGGTCAGTGTGTGATGACATGCATCCCTAGACGCGACCAGGATGATAGTGGTCCTTTCTATGACATGCCCGGTGTCTATCAGGAGCATCTGAGCTTGGAAGGCAGGTCCCACACCCAAGATGTCTGCACTCCCATGTCCAACACAAAGGCAGATAGAGTATCTGACCATTGTCACACTGCATTGAGGGAAAAGGATAAAGGACTAACAGAGACCATCCTCGAGCTTTTCTTGACAGGAATAGAGAGCAAAGAAGGGACTAGAAGCAAGGAAACCATGATTTTCTGAGCAACAGCAGAAAACCAGTCCTTGAGATGCCTTCCTTAGAAGGAGGATGTACCCTGTGCTTTACCAGAAGTGAAGCCGGAAACAGAGAGAAAAGTGTATGCTCATGCTGACTCCTGGAGCTTAGAAGATCCGCCATCAAACCACTGAGGATGTGGATAGTGACACAAGCTGGAGGTCTTGCTCACCAGTGGCCCTATATTTGGGGAAGTTTCTGGGATGAGCACCTTGGGTTTGGCTCCTGTGGTTCACTTCCTCTAGCCAGCATCAGGAGACCCTTTAACCCCTTTCTGAAGAAATTGGAGCCCTAGGACAGGACTCCTCATCACAAGATGTATGGCTCTTCAGTAGACTTTGCTGATGCCTCCAGAGCCATGTGGCCAGGAAACAGGCCAGAAGGAAAAGGAGAAACATTTCAAAAGACTTCTGCTCAGTTACTAATAACACTATCATTCCATATAGAGAGATTTTACAAAAAAAAAAAACCAAAAAACAAACAAAAAAAAACCAACCCAACCCTATTTTATGGTTATGTGTACTATTGGGTTGGAACTGACCCACAGCCCTCTGGTGGTCTTTCAGAGGCAAATAATAGCACAGAAGGAGATTGTCCATCCTTCTCCCTCAGAGCAGCTGGTGTGGATTTAGAATTGTGTGCCTTTGGGACTGCAGCACAGTTTCGTACTACTAGGTCACCAGACTTAATGTTAGCATTCATATAGTCTAATAAATGTAAAAAAAAATTACAACTGTATCTACTATATCATATTATTCTGTGATTAAAACTGGTAAATCTGATTAAAAACTAAAGATTCTATAGGGGAGCTCTGATGGGTCAAGTGATGTGTTTCCAGCCAGCCAAGGGCACATGGCATCGTTCTCAGCAGGGATTCGCCTCCTCAGGGATTTACAGCCTCTGAAAACTCATTGGAGGCTAAGCTGTGAGTTGGTTCTGATCAGATGGTTCACAAGATTCTGTATGGTATAGCTAGGCGGAGATTCAAGAAGGGGTGTGGAGGGGGTGAAGTTAATACCCCAACCCTAGGGAAGCCCTTGGCTGGTCTGGGCCTCCTCAGGACAGCATGTGGGCTCTTGAGAAACAGCTCCGTTTGTTGTGAAATTTCGAAAGGAAAAGACAGTTGGGGACAACACACCCCTCCCAGCCTCTCTATACCAGCCAGAAACAATTCAGAAACAAGTTTCTCATGAGTCTTGCTCTCTTGCGTGGCTCTTGCCAGGTTTGGAGGTGGGGTAGTCCTGACCTGGGTAATGATAACAGTATTAGTCACTCAGGGACTCTTCAACCCTGATGAGGGTTGGGGGTGGCACCCACCTCGGTCACGATGGTGGACAGATAGACGTCTTGGCTGAACTCCCAGCCGTCCAGGCAGCCCTCCTGCTCCAGCTCAGTCAAGTTCACGTCGCGCCCGGGCACAAGCCCGAGCGCAGACAAGTTGGTGAGCGTCGCCAGCTTATAGCGGCGGCAGCTGTGGGGCACCTCCTGGCCATGCTGCAGGCGCAGCGGGAGGCTGTGGTTGCGCCATGCGCTGCTCAGGTTGGCAGAGTCCGGCACCCGGCAGTGGTGCTCGGGGGTCGCCGCCAGGAACACGGCTGACATGCCATTGAAACCATTGGGGATGATGCTGGCGCTGAGCAGGAAGAAGATGAGGCGCTGGTAAGGCCCCCACTCGCCCAAGAAGGCGATCACCTCGTCGTAGTCACGCATGCTTCCCGCCGTTGCTCTGCAGGCAGCAACGAGGGCTGAAAAGCGCGCCCCACGGACAGTGTCGCGCGGCCAGGGTTATCAGGACGCCCCCGAGGACTGGCACCCTGCAGGCAGTTGGAGCTGGCGGGCAGGGGGAGATGCCAAGGATGCCGGCGTCCGAACGTTCCCGGGAGCTCCGCACAGACCTGGAAGCCACAGAAAAGGCTCCGGACCGCACCCCCATCGCAAGCAGGGGGCGGGGAGGGCGGGTGGGGCGGGGCCCCGGCGCCGGCCCCGCCTCGGGCTCCCACCCATCCGGTGGCCGAGCAGGCGGGGGGCTTCGGGTGGGGCGGAAGATCGGCAGCCAGCGCGCTCCGCTCCTCAGCCCGCCTTCGCCCTCCCGGTATCTTCAGAGAGCCCGTTCCCTGGCGGGAGCGCCATCGTGTGGAATCCACAGGAGGAGGAGGGAGGGCAAAAGGGAGGAGCCGCGGCGGGAGAGCCCGGAGAGGTCGGGCCTCACCCGAGCCAGGGGTTTCTCCGCTCTGCCTTCCAATCCGGATTGTGAGCCTGGGCAGCTTCCGGCTGGCGCCGACCTGCGAGTCAACGACGCCAGCTCTGCCGAAATCTTTGGCACGGGAGTGCGGGAGGGCGCCCTCTGCTCCCGCAGGCCGTGCGCGTGAGAGTGGCTGGCACAGCCGACCGGGGGTTCATTCCTCACCGTCCCGCCCTGTTCTGTCCGAAGAAAGAAAGCAGCGTTGGAGAAGCTAGGAACCTTTCATCTGGAGAAGGACAACCAAGGTCACACTGCGTCAGAGGTGGGCCCCCATCCGAAGACGTGTTGGAGCAGGGGCTGCCACATTGTCTCCAGGGTCGTTCCAGGATAGGACCGCCAGCGTAGACTTCCACTCGGAACCTGGCCCACTGTGAAAGCACCGTAATGGAGTCGCTCTTGCCCCTGTCCTGAGTTCTGATTTTGGACCCCTCACTCTCGCTCTCAACACGCGCCCAAGACTCTTTAGTGTAGCAAACTGCCAAAACCTTGTTGAACTTCTAAACCTCTTTGCAGAAAGGTCTGCCCCCAGGCCAGGAACACAGGAAAGGAGAGAGGAAGAGAAGGTGCCTTTGACGCCCAGATCTGGCAGGGCAACCAGAGCAGGGGGCCTGTGCCAGAGTACAGGCACTCAGGAGGCAGATGAGACCGCTGGCATATCCCAGGCTGAAAGCCCAGCCTTTTGGAGATTTTTACACATCTATTGCTTCTTCAGACACTGGTTAAGAGGCCATTTCTGCTGACCTTTCTTCTTAAACTGACTTTCTGACCCTTGGAGCTCAGTTCATCTGTAATAAGATTATATGTTCCAGTGCACCAGGATAGCCTAGTTTATGCATGTTGTTAAATGCTGTGAAGTCAGTATGACTCATATCTGCCCTATGAACAATGGATCTGTACCCTACTATCCTCTGCCATCCTCATCATCTCTAACATACTTGAGCCCATTGCTACAATCACTGTCGATCCGTTTTTTGGAGGGTCTTCCTCTCTTTTGCTTTTAAAAGCATGATTGTCTTAATAATTCTTAATTATGCTTCCTGTTACTTTTTTAAAAAAATGCCCTTCTTTGATATATGGTCATTGTTGCACCCAAATGTTATCCTCCTATCCGAAATAAATATGCTAAACCCAAGGCTATAAGTAGATTGTTTCTTTTTAATAGTGATCCCAGGGCTTAGAGGAGTAAGGGCCTGGGGAGAGTAAATAGGGAAAGAAGTAACACATAAAAACTATAATGATGCTGGTCATTGGCAGTGAATACAAATTAGTACAGAACAGTACTCTTTATGGGAGCCTCAGAACAAAAAAAAAAAAAAATAAGCAATGTAATGATCCCAGGGATTAGAAAAGTAAGGGCCGGAGGAGAGTAAATAGGAAAAGAGGTAACACATAAAAGCATATAATGAAGCTAGCCATTGACAGTGAATACAATTAGTAACAACTGTACTCTTTATGGGAGCCTGAGAACAAAGGAAAAATAAGCAGTATAATGATCCCAGGGATTAGAAGAGTAAGGGCCCAGGGAGAGTAAGTAGGGAAACAGGTAACAGTAAAAGGGTATAATGAAGCTGGTCATTGTGGCAGTGAATACAATTAGTAACAGAACTGTTGTCTTTATGGGAACCTGAGAATAAAAGAAAAATAAGCAATACTGAACCTGTCTTTATTTAGAATTTTAGCATTTTGCCCATCATGGAGGGTTGGCTATTGATTTTTATTTTGAACATGGCAAGAAGCTGCACTGCAATCCCGAATACATGAGGTTCAAGGCCACCAGCTGCTCCATGGGAAAAGGGTGAGAAGTCTCCTTCTATGTGATTAACTGTTTCTGCCCACTGGAAGGTCAACTATGGATTGGTTCCTACTCTATGGTACGTAACAAAGACAAGAAGCAATTTTTTAATGTCCTTTTGAATTCTGCATCCAAAGCAAGTGCCTCACTCATTTCATCTGCCTTATCTTCATTGCTGTAGATGACTGAAGTTTGATCCCACTGGAATCTTCTAAACTATACAGAATCTCTCACACTTCCAGGTTGTATGTGTGAGAGCCAAATAGGTACTAAACTATTTACCATTGCCCAGGAAGATAAATGTCCGTAGGCATTTCTCCACCCATAAAAAATTATAACTAAGTAGACTGCTTATAGCTCTGCCCATTGGGAGGATTTTTCCTTACTATCCTGCTAAAAACCCAAAACGGTACACTGCTAAGCCTCTCTGGTGGTTTGGATCTGCCAGTGGTTCCTTGAGAAAAAGATCGACAATTTTTTAACTGGTAATAACACATCACACTAACCTGTCAGTCAGGCCTGAATATTTTTCTCCTCCATCAGTTATAAAGAACTAGTCCGTAGGGCCATAAGTTGGAGCTTAAGGAGAAGTGTTGTTATTGCTGACACAGGCAATCTAGGCATCTAAACCACTTATTCACTCACTTACATGAGGTGTATGGACCTTCTTAGTCCTGCTTTTGAATGTACCATTTCTATTATATGATGAATTGCTAATGAGCCTCCCTGATAATACTCAGCTTTTACTGGGCATCTCTGATTACCTAGATCCTTGATGTTCCATTGCCAGACACTCAGTTTCTACTGAGGCCAAGTACCTATTTTTTAAAAGGCAAAAAGATCTCTGTGTGACAAGACATGTCCTTGCTCCAGAACCCTACTGAAACTCTCTTAGACCTTATAAAAGACTTCACTCAATATCTTTATCCACTACAACCACTCTAGCACCATTGGCTTTGCTGGGTTATATGGCAGGCAAGTGTGAGCTGTAGTAGAGCTCTCTCTTGTTCTAGTCCTCATTAAACCCCCAGATCCTTCCAAGGCTTGCAATAAGTGGGCCAGAATAATTTTCCTCCAAAGTACTCTTCCTTTTTCTTAGTAGTGGAGCATGCAAAATACAATAACTTGCATTTATGTTACAGAGAATGACCTACAATGCTCCAGAAGTTATCTTTGATAACTTTACAAATTTTCCTGAAAAGAATATGGGTTGAAGAAAGCCAGTTGTCATGTAGGTGAAATGAGATTGACTATGAACTACATCAACTAGTTTGAAGAATTTTGTTTTATTTGTTTATCTACTTTTGTATTTTTTGACTCCATAGCAAGAAGATGAGAAAATAACTTCACTAATATAGACAGAACTCTTACTCGCCTCCTCTCCCCATTCTCTGAAAGAAATATCTTTAACTCTGGTGGCCTAGTAGCAAGAAGCTGCACTACAATCCTGAAGGCATGTGGTTCGAGACCACCATCTGCTCCGTGGGAGAAGGCTGGACAATCTCCTCCCGTGCGATTAACGGCTTCTTAAACTCACTGGAGGGTCAGCTATGGGTCAGTTCCAACTCGACGGTACACAACAACAACATAGAGAAAAAGTAAATTAAAAAACCCAAATCCATACCATCAAGTCCAATTCAGAGTTACCTTCTACCAGGTTTCAAGGTTAGAAATCTTTATGTGCAGAGATTCAAATTGCACACCTCTTGGTTAGCAGCCCAGTGTTTCAAACTACACCAGTAGGACTCTTAAGACATCAGCAGTATTCCTATCATTCAGTAAAATTAGTATTATGTCACCGATAAAGTGGAGCATCTATGGACATTACTATTATTAAAATCACTAAAGACAACATGAAGATACAGAGCAGGAGAATATAGCTTATGGACAAAAGAGTGAATATGCACTGCTATTCTTCCCATATAAAAGTAAACACATGTTTCTCTTTCTTACTAATGTGTATTTAGAAAAAAAATTATACTGAATAATTCTAACAATTCATCCCAAAGTGTAGCCTGGCTCTTGTTAGGCAATCCATGATATATTCAGTATTCTTTGAAGACTTCATAGTTCACAAGCATTAATTTTTTTCTTTTCTTTTTCTTCTAGTCCAGCTTTCCTATCCTTATGAGGTGATTTAAAATACCAGGATTTGAGTCAGATGCTCTTTAATCTGAAAAGTAATACTTTTTTTTAATCCTTTAAAGAGATCATTTGCAGATTTTCCCAGTGCAATACAGATTTTGATTTCTTGATTGCCGTTTCATGGGCATCAATTGTAGACCAGAGTGAAAAAGAAATCTCTAATGGTTTCAACCTTTTCTACGTTTATCATGATGTCACTTGACTGAGCTGTGAAGATTTTTTTTTCTTTAAGGTTATTTTAAGGTATCTACTGTCTATAATTCCAGGTTCTTTTTCCCACTAACAAGAATGACAAGACTAAAACTTTTCATGTAAACAAGTTTATGTAAAGATAAAATTACTTTAGGGAAAGATGTGAAGAGGAAGTCAGGAAATGGCCTGTAGAGAGGAGTTACGATAATTAGGTGCATGCACTGCTTTTCAAGATGAACTCAGTTAGCTAAAGAATCAAGACACTGTTTCTGAGGCAAGAAATGTCACTTAATATGGTAAGCAAGGTCTTCCAGTTCTATTTCCCAGTCTGGTTGCTAT